CTATCGCACACACGCACCTATCGCACACACTCACCGCACGCACGCACCCATCGGGCACACGCATCCACCGCACACACTCACCCACCGCACACGGGCAGCCCCGGCCCCGCCGCCCCGGAGCTGCGGGTCCCCGCGGTGCCCATTGGCCGCCGGTGGCGGTGGGCGGGTCGCGGGGCCGCGGCAGCGGGGCCGGCCCGGGGAGAGCGGCGGATCCGCCCGGCGCGGGCGGCGGGAGCGCTGCCGGGGGAGGTCCGGGAGGTACGGCCGGAGCGGGGTCCGGACCGGGGGGTCTGCGCGGGGCTGGGCGGGCGGCTGGTGCGGAGCGGGACAGCTCTGGGAGAGCTTTGGGACAGTCGGGGGTTTCCGCCGCCGGGGCGGTGCGGGGGGAGCGGGGCGGTCTGGCGGCCGCTCCGCCCGCGGGGGGAGAGAGCGGCGGGGGCTCGGCCGGGGGGGCCCGCGGCGTGTCCTGCCCGCCCGGGGGTCCCGTCCCGTGCGTGCGGTACCTGCAGCCCCGCGGTGTCTGTGCGTGACCCGAGCGCCGGTCGGAGGGGCGGGTTTGTTGGGGTTTTTAGAGGGACGCTTAAATTACCAAGTTTGACCGTGTACCAAAATCCCAGAAAGTGCTCCCGCCGCGGAACTCTAAGGGGAAGCCTCCCCTGGGCTGTGCGCCTCTTCCAAAGGGGCACGTGGGCTCTCGGGCGCTGGGAGGGACAGGGAATTGTCTCTTCCCTCGGTGGTCGCCCACCCTCGCCAGCCGGCCCGCGCGTGTCGTTCGCACGAGCCCTTGTCCAGCCTGAGCGTGCCCAAGTGCTGTCACATTGGTCCTGTCAGCTCCAACACCCGAGAGTTCCCGACGGGGGGCTTTTCCCTGTGCCTCCCCAGCACGGGGAGGCCGATAAGCAGCGGGGAGGGGAGCAGGAGGTGCGGGCGGAGTGCGCCTCGCTTTTCTGCCTGGGGATGTGTGCATGGATAGAGCAGGGGAGAGGGAGGGAGCGAGGCATTTCTTTGAGTTTCGGGTTTTCCTTCCTCCCTTCCTATGCTGCTGAGGCGCCTCTGAGCCTGGCTGGCACTCGCAAGAGCCACAGCTGAGCTCAGGCTGCCAGCGAGTGGGTTTGGTAGCATCAGTCTGAGCTCCTCAAAAGCCACTGCTCGGCAGTCCCTTTGCCCTGGCCCTATACTGAACATGGCAAGAAGCTTGGTAGCTCAGTCAGTCCATACCCCGCCGGGACTGGTGACATTCCCAAAGGCATAATGTGACAGCCAGTGCCAAAATGTACATGTGCTGAATTGGGTTCCTCATGAGCATGGCAGGAAAGGGGTTGCCAGAGCCTGTCCTCCTTCCCCCCGGCAGTTACAGCATGCTGGGAAAGAGGGAGAGGCAAGCTGAAATCCCCTCAGGCAGGAGAAGGAGAGGAACTCTGGTTTGCTTGCTCTGAGTGCCTGCTCTGGCAGCCGCATCCTGCTTACTGTGCTCGGTGAGCAAGAGCTTATACCAGCCCTAACTCCAGTAGACAGTGCTCAGCTGAGCAAAGCAGAAAGAGGGAGTAAGGGAGAGCTGCAGAGAGATGAGGCTTGGGGCATTTTCTGCTGTCAGAGCTCAGCAGTCAGATCTCAGTGCACTGATCCTCATGGGCCATCCCATGCATGTGGTATGCATTAGGTATGCAGTGGATACCAAGACTGTCAGCTCTGTCTGATGGCAAGAACAGAAGGATCAGGTAGAACAGCTCACTACATCGCTACAGCTAAGCCTTAGATACACACAGTCTTGAAAAACATACCCCAGACTCGGTGACCCAGGAACTTAAGTTGAAATGCTCTGCCTGGCATGCATCAACATGGCTGTTTATAATCCCAAGTGAACAAGCACTCATTGTTAAAAGTTGTGGCGTGCTTGCTTCTGGAGTGGAGTGCCAAGCAGTTATTTTTTTTCCTTTGAATATCAGTCATGCTCATTGCATAGTATTTGATCACATGTAGAACCAACAGATCTTGATGAAAATAACCAGCCCCCAAATTTGCCATGCCAAAAACCTCCGTGAAAAGCAGCATGCTGGTAAAGTACATCTTCCCACCCTCATTTCAGCTGGATGAGCTGCTGCTGTATGTGGCACATGGGCACATGTAGCACTTGGTAATAAGCTCTGTGACCCTGCTGACCTGACATGGCAAACAGGAAAAAAATATTTACCAAAATGAATAAAATAGATTAGACTTCATATCCTCATTTTGTTCCAAAGGGAGAGGCTCTCATCTCCCAGGAAAGGAGACCATAATAACACTCAGCAGCTATCTTTATTTACCCAATTCACAAAGTACTTGCATTCCAAAGCCCAACTGTGCATTATTTGCAGTGAGTCACAATATTAACATGAAATTGGGTTTTATGTGGTTACTCAAGCTGAGCACTCTCTGGAACTCGGGGCAGGATTGACCTGGCTTGTGGTGGGATGTGGTGAGTCACCCTTTCAGATGGCTGTTGCCCACCCACACGAGTGGATATGCTTAACACTGTCCCAGCTCCATCCAGTGCATTCCAGTGCTTTGAGGCCCTGAGGATACACATCCTTCCCTCCAGTTTGAGGAAGCCAGCTCTTCAGGAGCACTGGCCACTCAGTGTTTCTCTGTGAAAGCTATTTCTGCAGGGTAGGTCACTTCATTTAGGTCTCCCAGGGCTAAACCTGGGTCTTGGCCTTTTGTGTTTTTACCATGTCGTGCTCTAGAGAAGAAAATTGTGGGAACTCAGCAGAATTGACTTGTCTATCTGCCAGATAGCTCAGGCAAGAAGTGAATGGTGTGCAGCAGCCTTTAGCAGCAGCTCTGTGGTTTCCTTTCCAGCATAGTGAAGGGGTGACTTGGGGTGAAGGACAAGGGTAGAATGTAAGTCATTGTTGTCCCAAACACACAGGGCCAGGCGTGCTGTCATCCTCCTCTTCCCTTTCCCCTCCAGCCTCCATAGTAGCAGGCACTCTGGACAAGGAGGACAGGGAAAGCAGTGGAGGGTGGCTCTGCATTAGTGGTTCAGTGAACCAGGGCAACACACATCCCTGTGATCTTGGAGCTGCCTCGTGATGGCTGAGCTACCTCTCTGGAAGAGGAAATGACTCACATTCCCATGGCCAGCCGGCCTTGGGGCAGCTCCTTCAGTGCATGAGGGGTAGGTGCAACAAAAATGAACTTACAAGGAGTGCCTTCCTTACTCCAAACTACCTTCCTTACTGCAAACATTTGCTTTTACTTCAGAGTTACCCTTACCTAGGTTTTCTAGTAAAACAACAAGCAACAGACTAACAAAACTCCAGATTGAGAACTCCAGAGGAGAAGGAGGGTGTGGAGTTGTGGGAGGGATATTCGTGCTGCATTCCACTTCCCCTTCAGCAGAGAGCAGAACTGTTTTCAGAATGATGTGTCTTGCAACTGGAAGCACTGGCATCCCTGGGGTAGTGGAGGAAAGGCTTGGCTCATGTGGGTTTATTCACATAACAGGGGCTTTTTTCTTTTCTCTTTTTTTCTCTTCTTGTCATGCAGGGAGGACCAGTGGGAACAAGTGATACCACAGTGTTTTGTTTTGTTCCTGCCTCAGCTCTGGCCCAAAATGGGGCTGTGGGGTGTGTGTGTCTGTAATCAATCCTTGAGAAAGCAGGTGTGGCAGTCAGAAATGGAAGGCTTGCTCCCAAAACCATGGATCTCCTCCCTGAGCCCATCATAAGTTCGCTCCCAGCACCAAGAGGGATAGACAGGGCAGGTCCTGGTACCCTTCAGCTGTCACAGTACAATGACACCTGAGCAAGTATTTACACCTGCATAAAAGTAGGTTCAGAGCAAGCAGCTTCCTTTACTAAGGGCATGGAGTTATACTGGTGCAAAGCACAGCTGTAATGGAAGAGCTGGCTCTGCCTCCGAGGGCTTCCATTGCTGCAAACTGAACTATCCCAGTACAGACTGGACTGCTGCAAAGTGAGGCCAGAAAGTTTGGAAATTTAATTTTAAAAAGTAACAAGCTAAAGTGCAGAGGGTTCAGGAGATTACTTGTACCCTCGGGTTGCGTTAGGAGCATCTCACCTGTGCATGCATTAGCTATTCACCCCCACCCAGTGCAGATGTTTGCAGCTTCACCACTTCCCTCTTTGTTTTCCTCTCTTCACAGTGAGCTGGAGATGGTGGACCATCTTGCAAACACCGAGATCAACAGCCAGCGCATTGCTGCTGTGGAAAGCTGCTTTGGGGCTTCCGGGCAGCCCTTAGCCTTGCCTGGAAGGGTCCTTCTAGGAGAAGGGATTTTAACCAAAGAATGCCGCAAGAAACCAAAGCCTCGCATATTCTTCCTTTTCAACGACATCCTCGTCTACGGCAGCATAGTCATCAACAAAAGGAAGTACAATTCCCAGCACATCATTCCCCTTGAAGATGTCACTTTGGAGACGCTGCCAGACACTTTGCAGATGAAGAACCGCTGGATGATCAAAACCTCCAAGAAGTCCTTCGTGGTTTCCGCGGCCTCCCTCACGGAGCGGAAGGAGTGGATCAGCCATCTGGAGGAGTGCATCAGGCACCTGCTGACGAAGACAGGCCGGCAGCCCTCCACGGAGCACGCGGCTCCCTGGATCCCAGACAAGGCGACGGACATCTGCATGCGCTGCACGCAGACCAAGTTCTCCACGCTCACCCGAAGGCACCACTGCCGCAAGTGCGGCTTCGTCGTCTGCGCAGACTGCTCCAGGCAGAGGTTCCTGATGCCCCGGCTGTCCCCTAAGCCCCTGAGGGTCTGCAACCTGTGCTACAGGCAGCTGCTGGCGGAGAAGAAGAAGGAGGCAGAGGCAGATCTGAGGCAGACAGAGCCGATCTGCTCTGCCATCCAGGGCTACGAGCCCTCCAGCGGCGATGACAGCGACAAGTCTGATGACGACAAAGCTGAGCGGTGGCCAGCAGACACAGAGTTTTATACCTCACCAGTATCCTGGTCATCTTTCCATAGCTGACCTCCCTGGGAGCTGGTGGAGTTTAGACATTGGGAAGCCAACCTCTGGCCTCCAGTGTGTGTCCTTAATGTTTTCTCTGGAGGCCATGCCTAGGACTGTGGATCTTGGCCTCTGTACATGGTGTCTGTGGGGGAAGCAGAGGTGAGGTTGCCCCTCTGAGAACGTGTCTCATACAACGTGTGTGCGGAGAAGAACAGCTCAGTGAATAGCACGGACTGGGGCACAGACCTGCAGATCAGTCTTGGCCAATCGAGCTTGCCCTTCAGTGCCTTAGTCTTCCTCTCCACAAAAACACAGCAGTACTAACTCCTGTTTTGAAATGTTTTGAGATTGGCTCTTGGGAGAAAAAGAAGCAAGAAGTCCTGGAGTTGAACACGCTTGCCTGCTTGCAGTGTGTTCCTCTGTCGTGGCAAGGGGCCGTTTTCCATGAGCATTGCCAGAGATTGTCACTGCAAGTGTGCCAGCCCCAGGGAATAGCTGCTCATCCTGGCATGAGGCTGGCACTGGCTTCCATGTCTACACCCAGGTCTCTCAGTGTTGGAAACACTAAGATAATGGTGCTCTGAATGAGGTTTGTGTGAGCAGCCCTAGCAAAGCGCTGGAGCATCCAGCTCTCACATGGAAAGAGGCCATGGGGGTGGTACCAGGACAGGAGGGAGGAAGGAGAGGAGAAAGGGACAGGTAAAATTACACTGAGCAGTGAAATAAGGAGCTAGGGATGTACTACAGTTGACTCAACTAAGTGCAGAGCCCAGATCTCAAATACAAATATCAGATTTCCAGAAACTTGAAGAACTCAAGCCTACCAGGTGAAAGCACAGCCCAGGGAAGACTTTTAACAAGTCTTGAAAAATCCAGGAAATTGCCCCAAATTAAGATCCTATGAAGTACAGCACTCCAACTTCCCCTTCCCTCCTGGGCTGCTGCCCAAGGCATTGAATTCCCACTTGTGGGCTCACTTCTTGTCTATCAGTCTCATGAGTCCAAAGTTAAGGTGCTTTATGTACTTCAAGGATTGGAGCCAAAGACCTTACAGTTAACTTGAGATCAGCTTTAAAGTTCAAATTAAGTTAGAAATAAACTGTGTTTATCCAAGTATTCTATCATAATGTAGCATGGGAGTAAATATACAGGAAATCAGACAACAGCAATTTTTTTGCAGCAGACATTTCTACAATTTCTCTGTTATTGCTTTTAGTGTATTTTTCTATTGTGTATTTTATGCTCTGGAAAAGTAACATGGCTGGGAATACATGGGCCAATGTTATAAACTATTTCCTTACCATGACCTGTTACAAGCAGTGCATTGCTTGACAGGTGGCCAGACTTGGGGTTTTTAAAATTTCAGTTCAAATTGATCATTCTTAATGTCTTTGATAAAGTGCCACTGTTCCAATGAATTTGTATCACTTGACTGTGTGTGAATAAAAGATATGGCCAACAGGAAGAAGCCAGGAAAATAGGACAATAAAGTGTGCTGTTATTGAACAAGAGTCTTAAACAAGAACTGGGATTCAGGCCTGGCCAACCAGCATGAGTTCAGACTCCTCAGCTGTGGGGAGACTTCTCTGGGTTTCTATTTACTGCTTGAAGGTAAGGGTGAGTGAAAAAAAAAATCCAAATCTGATGCTTCCTTTCTATTTATGCCATGTTATCATCTGACAGACTTTTCCCAAGTCTTTTGCAATCCCCTGCAGTAGTCTGTATTAGTTGGAATGGTATTTTTCCGGTGGGGACACAGCTTAGAGTGGGCCAACAAACCTTATGACCTAAGCAGATGTTTTTGGGTTTTAAAGCAATAAGTACACCAGGTTCTGTTTTTTCCATCACTCTCCAAGCTTAGTTCCTAACTCTGCACAGCAGTGACTGTTTTTACAATGCCTCCCACCCAGCAGAAGGGTGTACATGCTATGCAAACAGAAAATGACCTTAAAAATAAACAGCCATTAGAATGGCTCACAAGCCAAAAATAGCCCAGCTGCTGAATCCGTGTCCATTGCTGGCGTTCCAGTTCCCTGCTCCTGAAGTGAAACTCCCAGTTTCGTCCTAGTAACTGGCTCCACAAATGTATTCCAGTTTTGAACCCAATCCTTAGTTCTCTTCAAGATCAGCTTTTCTTTATCTTACGTGTTCAAAGGTCTTACTATTATCAGCCCTGAAAGAGCTATAAACTGTTTTTATCCAGTAATGAGAGACAGACATGCCTCTAGCAAATGCCTTCTTGGTGAGCAAGAGCTTTTCTTAATCACAGCAGGAAAAAAAGAATCTGAAAAACCAAACAAACTCTACCAAAAACAACCCAGCCCCTTCTTTTGGTGCATGCTGTTGATGGCCTTTAAGGAAACACACACACACCTTCCACCAGCTGGTACAGCCCCAGCCCTCAGGGTGCAAATGCTGGGACATTCCTGAGGTAACAGAATAAGAGTGGCTCACATCACATTCACTGCAGTTCTGAAAGTGTTTCAGAGGTGAGGAGGTGCCCAGGAGCACTTGCACTTTCAGAGGCTTCTCACACGCTGCCTGGTGTGTTGCACTGCCTTCTCCCAGTGCTTTTCCTGCTGTTATCCATCTCCCAGCTCTCTGGCCGTGCAGGAAGCATCAGGCATTGCAGAGCAGCTCCTGCCAGGCAGGGAGACATGGAAAGGCTGGAGGCAGCCACAGGTTCAAGAGGACACCTGCCATGGAAGCCCCAAGAAACCCAGTGACTCTTAAAACTGCTAATGTGTATGGTAAAAGGATCCTGCCCAGGAAAACATGGGGAAATTTAAACAAAGCCACTCCCCCTCTTCCTGTAGCTCTGTTAGCCAAGTTGCGGAGCTCAGCACTGGGATTAGAGCCTGGGGCTCCTGGCTTCTGGCCTGCTGAACACATGGGTTTTACATCACAGGCAGTACTGTTACAGTCCAGCCTAGAGTTTTCCAGCCTGATTCTGTCTCCAGTGCATTAATAGGGCATTTCCTGATGGTTTGGGTTTTTTCTTTTTTTAGCTAAATAAATGCCTTTACCAGAGATTTGTTACAGTTTGCAGCCCCAGCCGACTACAAAAAGAGCAGTAGCTTGAGTGCTCACCTTGGGAAACATCTCCAGGCTGGGGGTTTTGTGGGGTCACATCCTCCTCCTGCAGAGCTCCCAAACATGGAGATCCCAATGGGGATCAGCTGCCAGAAGGGGTTCCTTGCTCAGCCCCTACCTGAAGGTGTCACGGTCCAAAGGCACAGCAGGGTGAAGCTGTTCCTGCTGCACACCAGCCCTGGCACTGATCCTGGAGTGCTGCCTCAGGAAAACAGACTGGCTGAAAAATGCTCCTTCTGCTTCCTCAAGCAGAAACTGGAGCCCAGGCACATTTAGAAAAATCCAAGAGTTTTTTGGCCTGCAGCACAATGATTCCTTTTCAGCTGGACACACATGAGCCAGTGGACAGTCCCTGTAGCTGTCAGGAGTGAGAAGAACACTAGTGTGCTGAACATGGACAGCAAAACTTGAATGTCAGCATCAGACCTGCTGAAACTGCTGGGAATCCTCCAGCATAGAGGAAAGCAGAGCTAAGGACCATGCAGTAAAGCATTTAATAATAAAAATTCTCTTCTGCTCTTCAGTCAGTTGGAAGGGGAGGAAGAGGATGGCACTGGTGCAGCAGCCAGTCACAAAAGCCCAAGGAAAGGCAATGGGGAGATTTGATCTGTGAATAAACTGAAAGGATCAAAGAAGTTCAATGAAACCCATGTGTTCTGCCATCCCAAGGCACAGCCCAGGCACACCACGGCTCCCAGCACGGTGCTGACTCAGCATTCATGAGCATTCAGCAGGGAGAAGCGAGCCAGCTGCTCAGCCAGAGCCTTGCTCCCAGTTACTCAAACACTCGGTTTCCATCCAAGCTGGAATTCTGGCTCTGCCACAGCCCACAGCCTCTTCCGACTCACTGCTGCTGCAAGGCAGTTTCTCATGTTCCTCAGCCTGGGATTTTTGATTAGCAGGAGGAACTGAGGAGCACAGATGGTCCCAGCTGCTGCTGAGCTGTGAAGTGATGTGTTTCCAATGAAAAATACAGGCTTCTGTTTTTGACTCTTTCTGCTCCAGGCCGTGGACTTTAAGAAAGGTGTTGGCAGAAAGATGTTACACTACTGTCACTTCCACGGTGAACACAATATAGCAAAGCAGCTCCAAGAAACCCTTGCCTGAGAGCTGAGTGCTGGAGCTGCTCCCCAGAGCACCCAGGGAGGAACATTGTGCTCCAGGGAAGCACAGGCTGCACACTGTGGTGTAAAGCACTGCAGGGCAATACACAGCCGGATCTGCTTCGTGTGGCACATCACAGGCAGGAACAACCCCAGTGCCACACAGGGATGTGGGAAGGAGCCTCTCCTGCCTGTGCACTTGTTCATAAAACCTCCTAATATGCAGCCAGTGGTGTGATTCTGTGCAGCAGCTGGAGGAGAGGCAGGCAGGGAGGTGGTATCGAGTGCTGAGGAATGCAGAGTGACTCTCTTTGAAGTTGGCATTTGACTTCCTTTCCAGTAAGGCCCAGAAATGCAAAGAAGCAATAAGCAGGTTTTCTGTAAACCTCTTACAGAGAGGTTTATGGCCAAGAGAGAGTTACACAACCTCCCCAGTCTGCTACTGTAGGAAGGGGAGAGAAAAAGGAGGAGGGGAGTTAGATAAGAGATTTTGCTTTAGCAGAGCACTCTCGTGCAGTTCCTTCTGTTGTGCAGCCAAACCAACCTGGGGCAGAGCATCTGCTGCCATCAGCAATCCTGCAGCCTGTGATCCTGCTGCCCAGACTGCCCCACGCAGCAAGGGAATGCTGCTGGCTTTGTCTAGCCTCTCCTTTTTTTCTGTCCTAAACACGATGTGTTTTGATGAGAACCTTTGGCAAACAATGTGTTTGAGAAGCAAAAAGCATTAACTCAAGGCTAGACAGGTCTCTTTTCCTCTAACAGCAACAAGAAAAAAAAAGTCACACGTGGTTTTTTACAGGAAGAGTTACACATTAGGTAAAAACAGAGCTTTAGTGGTTTCATATATGAAGGATCTTCCAGAGGCAACAGAGGGAAAAGTAAGTGTGGCACTGAGGCCTCTCCATGGATTTGTTCCCACTCCCATCGAGGCCTGGAGGAGGAACCATGTCCCCTAACACGCATCACATCCTCGTGCAGTCTTCAGCCTGCCATGGCCACCTTACAGGGCAAGCTGGACAAGCCCCTTGGCAGCCTGCCTGAGCCTGCCCGAGCTGCACATCACCTGTGCGTGGCACACGGGTTCTGCCAGAGCTCCAGAGCGAGCCCTGTGCCCGGCAGCGTGCAGGAGAGCAGGGCTTTGTGAGCACAGCCATTCTCAAATGGCTCAAACTGCTCGAGGTGTGAGCCAGCAAACCAAGCCACAGACCAGAGCCAGCAGCACCCAGGTCACAGCTTCCTGGCTCCATCAAAGCCTCTGACTTGGTGAGTGCTCAGCAGCAAGTTCCACACAAACCGAGTGTTTAGATCCTTCCAAAGATGTCCTTGAGCTCACTTGTTTACTGTTTGAGCAGCCCAAGCAGCCCAGCAGTTTCGCTGTGCATGGTTTTCATAGTCCAAAGGTCTTTCATATGCCACCATAAGGCTTTGCACACCCTGTGCAGCCAGCCCTGCTCCCCAGGTACCCAGCACCAGCCCTGCAGTCCAACCTCCACGGCTGGGGCCACAGAACCAGGGCAGCTGCCCTGTCATCTTCCCCCCACACAGCTCCGTGGGCAGCAGGGAGCCTCACACCACCTGGAGAGCTGTCTTCTCTGTGGGGAGAGGCTGTTTTTCACTGGCTCGGCAGGATCCAGCTGCTCTCCCTGACACACTCCTAACCACAGCTGTCTGTACACCCCAGGGAGCAGAGCGGGGGGTGAGGCTGTGCATTAACCCTGCCAGGGCCTCTGCAGCACAGCCTTCTGCTGCAGTTCATACGGGGGAGATGCCTTACCCTCAAACCTCAACAGAGACAGGCTGGTGTCAGTCACATCCATCCCGTGGGGGAGGACTTGTCCTGCAGGGTGTCTGACTGCAGCTGCATTTGTTCATTCTACCAGTACCAGGTTCGAGGCAGATACAACACCCGAGACCGAGCAATCCCCTCTGCCTGTGCTGGGTCCCACAGGCACTCAGGATGTCACACACTGCAGCCATCTGTTTGCAAGGAAACAGCTTGAACGATGAGAGGTTCTACAAAATCCACTGGCAAGGAGCTACGGTGCTAATCTGGGAAGGATGACATCACACTTTGCTGCTTCAAGACTTCAGCAGTACTGTCCCTGTAATACAGCAGTTAGAGGTATGTTACCTCCATAAAAACGAGGTCTGTGATGCAGCTGGTGTAGCCCCTGAGCTGGGGCAGCCCTCACAGCATGGCCCTGGAGGCCCAGGAGAGCCCTCTGGAGCAGCAGCTCTGCCAGCACCCTGGCAATCACCAAGCAAGCCCCTCACACCAGCTCACACC